TAACCTGTTATTTATTATTTTCAATTGATATTAAAAGAATTAGAGAGAATAAAGGACTGAAAAGATATATTAATCATCAATAAGTATTCCAACCGCTAATAAGATTTAGAGATCATAATTATATCCATCCCTAACAATAATCTTAAATAAGCTCCTACTTTCAACATACCTCTACAACATTTGGGGTAGAGATTTCTAGAAACTAAATAGATTTTTCTTAATTAGTATGAAAACAATTGTCTCATTTATTTTCTATAAATAATTGAAAAGGTTAAATTCTCTATCAAGAAAAAAGGCTCTATTTAATTTTCATGCTAGTGATACTATTATTAGTTAAAGCATGTATAAGAAAGACAATTAATTTAACTTACATTGTTTCATTAGTTCAAAGGATTATAACAATGTTTATCTATAGAAATTTGCCATCATTTCCCTCAAATTTTGTATTACTTTTAAGTTTACAAAACAAGTAAAAGTGATTCAGACTTTATTCTGTTTTGATTTTATATTCAATTATCAAGCTGCATCAGAGAATATGATTGATTTGATCAATTAATTCAACAAATACATGCAAGGGATTATTATTGAATTTATTATAATTAAAATTTATTAAAGAAAAATGTTTAATTAATTATAATAAGTATTTTTATGATTTAACCAATTTCTATTAATCATAAAGAAGAAAAAGTGTGGTATGATAAGGATAATAAATTGGTATATGTCATATTTAGGATCTGCATTAGCCGATATAAATCAATTTCAGGAAGCAATTTAATGTTTTAACGAAGCCACTTCTATTAATCCTAAATATGATTTAGCTTTGAATGGCAAGGGTAAATTATGTTGATTGTAAAACTTTAGGTAATGCATTAACTAAATTGGAGCAATATCAAGATGCAATTAATTGTTACACCGAAGCTATTTATATTAATCCTAAATCTGATACTGCATGGAGTGGCAAAGGTAATCCAATGTTCAAAATTAAAAAATAGGATATGCATTAGGCTGTTTGTATAAATTTCATGAAGCAATTGAGTGTTTCAAGTAAGCCATTTCTATTAACCCTAAATATGATGATGCATAGAATTGGAAGGGTAAAAACCTTATTCAATTATAATAATTAGGAGTTGCATTAGAAAAATTGAATTAATATTAAGAAGATATTGAATGTTACAATGAAGCAATATCTATTAACCCCAAATGTGATAATTTTTGGAAGAATAAGGGTAACTAATTTATAAATATTCTTTTATAGGTAATGCATTAAGGAAGTTGCAACAATACTAAGAAGCAATTGAATGTTATAATGAAGCAATATCTATTAACCCTAAATCTGATACTTTTTGGAATAATAAGGGTTATTTATTGTCAAAATATTAATATTTAGGTTATGCATTACTTGAATTGAAACAATACTAAGAAGCAATTGAATGTTATAATGAAGCAATAGCTATTAAACCTAAATCTGATTGGGCTTTTGAACAAAAAGGTATTGATATTTG